CAAACCAGCCATTGCTTGTTTCCCTGAAAAGTAATTATAGTGTTTTCTTAAAAGTTGTAAAGAATTCTTTCACACTATGAATCTTTCATAGGAATAAAATGCTGAATTTTGTTAAATTAGTACACGTTAATACTCTGCATGCAATTATTATAATTTATCTTTTCATGCAGTAAAAAGTTAAAATTATGATTAACCTTTAATACAACTTCATCACAGCTTGTTTTCCTTTGCATCTGAAACTCCTGCTAAAATCAGCAGAATAATTCGTCTTTGAAAAGATATCTGCAAGAGTTTCCTCTAACATAAATGCCAACAGGGCTGAAAACTCCCTACAGCTTCCTGCCACGCCACACGCAAATGGACCCGAAACATAATCCAGACTCGTACATTTTCATCTCAGTAACCAAAACGAATCCTGCAATACTTAATGACGCTCCTTTATTGTGAAAAGCTTAATTGTCTCAATCAAAGCAGTGATTTATTTAATTTTGTTTTTCAGAACTCTTCAGTAAATATTTTTAGAAAATCATCATTACTTATAGACAAAGTTAATCTGTTTTTATGTTTATTACACTGTAGTCAAATGCAGCCAGAAGAGGGTAACTAATTAATGGATAATAAGCATCACGCCACCCGCTGCTGCCTCTGGACCTGGCTGTCGTTTGGCCGAGCAGCTGTCAGTCCGGATGCGACTATAAACAGAAAACGCCAAGATCCCTGCAGGCTGGGTTCAAGTGCACTTCAGAGAGGCGACGAGTGAGTGCTTTCTGAACCGGACCAACCACTCAGTGTTTGCTCTGATTGATGAGGCGCGTCATCTGAAACCTGCAGCTGACTGTTATATGCGCTCTGACAAGTTATTTGTTGTTCGTTTATTTGATTAAAGTGTTTGAGAAAATGTGACACGGGAGCCACACATTTGAATTATTTCACTCAGGAAATGAACTTGCGGTGCAGCAGAGAACAGGAGCAACATTGAGTGTCGGCCCACAACCTTTGAAATATGCAGAAATGTCGACTGACTTGAATAACTGATTGAAGGACATTCTTACATTGTAGGATTTATTTATTTTACATTTTTTTGACATTTTCTGACACTTTATCTGTGAAAGTGATTTATAAAAAAGTAATGGCTTAAAGCTTTTTTTTTGTACCGTTTGAGCTCACTGTAAATTTAATTTAATTTAATTATGTTTGTTTTTGCTCCTTTTCTGTGACTGTCTCAGTATTCTAGTTGTGTGATTAATCAAATCAAAACCTGTCTTCTAAAATTCAGAAAATTTTAAAAGTTGGAAACTGAAGATGGGAGTTTCTGGGAGTAAACATAAAATTATGATATTAAAGATTTACCTTCATAAACCAACATATAATGCTCATATGCCTCCATACAGTATTAGAAACTTAAACCTGCCCCAGAATATTAATCTGGGGGTTTTGGAAATATTTTATTATTTCTGCAACTCCAATGTAGCTCAGCACGTGTCCTCTATACGTCTGTGGAAATTAGAGATAATTCTGCTGCTTTCTGTATTATTAATCTCAGTCACTATGGAAAATTTCCAACCACATAACTTTGGTAAGTGGTTGGATGAAAATTGACACATCCATCATCATTAAACCATAAAAAAATCAGAATGCAAAGTCAGCTGGAGAAAAGACAGCTTCCTACACATTTCAGTGAATCAACTTTTAAGCCCTGCAGAGCTGGCAGTGGGATTTCTTCTTAACCTTTCATGTGGATTCTCCATAATCCAGGTGGCAGAGATCCTTCAAGTGGAATTGGAACCAGACTGGACTGTTTACTTTGGATACCAAACGCGTTTTGTCTCTCTAACAGGTTTTCATTTGACTTGAGGCATTTAACTTTATAGAAACGCTTGTGCCACTGATTCTCAAAGGAATACTTTAGCAACGATTTAGACATTCCTGCTCGGTGGACCTTATTTTCCTTGACAGGTCATGAACAGACCTCCTGCAGAATGTAATGACAAGCTGTGAGGTCATTTGGTAACTTGTAGCGCTCCAGGTCAATTCACTCCACCGCCTAAATAGTGACACTTTTCTCCTCTTCTTTCATTTCATGCCTGAAAAAAAAATCATTTCGTAGTTATATTCAAGAGTTTAAACCGTTATATATAAGTTTACTTTTCTGAAACTATGCAAAACATGTTGCCCTCTAACAGATTTCTTCTATAACCCTGGGACATGCAAAATTGATTTTTTTTATAAATAAAATTTACATGTATTGGCAGAAAACAGCTATCTGGTCCAACATGGAGTTTATGTGAAATACGTAACAATTAACATGAGTTGTTTGCGATAACTGATCATAAGCATCCAGGTCAATTTGACTATTTGTATTTGCTTTTCGTGCTGCTGATGAATTTTCACTGACAGAACTGTTTTAACTCAGCCACAGGTTTAGGTCTGACCACAGCATCTCGGTGTGATTTGACTCCAGACTTTGACTAGGCTTCTCAAAAGGCTTTTGACCCATTCCGAGATGGATTTGCTGATTCGGGTTTTTCTTTTTTTCTTTTTTTTTTTTTGGTGACTGTCAGAGATGACTTTTGTGTGGTTTTGGCATCAGAAAGACCAAAACAACGCAAGACACAGGCCAAAGCATTAGACCTTTTCTCCTGCTTCACCCAATCAGACACAATCATACAGGCTCTAGTAAAGAACCTTCTGCACTGTAGAGACGAGGTGATACTCAGGACTGGATTGACTATGTTTAGGCCTCTGTAGCTTTTTAAAACAGTTTTTCATCTGAAATCTGCTTTTTACTCGTAACATCGTGACAGGTTGGTCTGACTTTAAATATTTACATGACAAATAAATTTATAGCAGAAAAACATATTACAATGAGAAATAGTCAAGGAACATTACTTTCATAGACAATTTAACTAAACATTTTTTTCCAGAAAACTCTTCTATAACTTAGAATTAAATTGAATTGTGCATTGTTTCTAGGTTTTGCCATTCCCACGTGTTGATTGTTTAGAAATATGACACATTTTGACTCTTGATCAAATCAAAACAATTCTGCTCAGTCTCATGGATATTACTTGAACATAATGAAACATAATGAACCCCATTTGATTTCATTGTTTTTAAGCAGGAAAATATGCAAAAATTGCCCAGGGATCATTTCAGTCATGTCGACGCTAATGACCCTTTTGAATTTTCCACCTGTCACAAAGAGCAATCGGATATGTAGCAAATCACCAGCTTTATCCACATAAGCAAAAGCGGGTATTCTGCACCACTGTGCAGTTGATTAAGCCTAATGCGTTGAGAAGTGAGGAGTTGCTTGGATTTAAAAACTGCTGACTCTTTTCCCTCTGCTGTTTGCTCTCTCCATCTCCATCCCTCTTCCCATCACTCAGTATTTCCCTCACTTCTTCAAGTGTCTCTTGTGATGAGGTTTATAAAGCAGAAGGGAAGAGAGGGACTCATTAAACCCTCATTAAACCCCCTTTGCCCCTCCTCCCTCTTTTCTTTTATGTTTTTTTTTCTCACTGTCTACTTCTCTCCATCCCCTTCTTGCCATCTTCACCAGATTAAATTATGGTGGAACGACACAGGAAGAACCTCCATGGCAATCGCTGCTTCCAAACATCCTTCCACTGAAGCCATTAAAGATGCTAAGACCTACATTTTCAACCTCATTTGAGTCCGGGCAGAAAATAAAATGCCTAAACAAGGAAGGCAACGAGAAACAGGGATCTGAAGAAGGGGGGCAAACAAGGGGTTGATTGGGAAGGATTGCAGGAGGGACAGCTACAGAGAGAATATGTTAAACAGGAAAGCGGGATGTCGGGCTGTAGCAATGGATGTAGCCGCTGAGTTTACAGAAAATGGGATCAGTGATGCTTTCAAGGCAGGAATGCCATGCAGCAAAGCAGGCTGGGAGCGCACAGTGACTGATGGAAGCATTTTCCTTCAGAAGTAATCAGCTTGTCTTCTGTAGCCCCATGCCAAGAATGACAATTTGTGCACGTCTGGGTGCTCATTTTGGGGGTGGGTTATTAGATGGCAGGCGGGGTAATACAGTCCATTTCCGCAGTGCACTATGGGAAAAAAAGGGGATGGGAGCCAGACATGAAACGTGCAGAGATTTACTAGCTTTGCAGAGGAGCTAAAATAGCAGTATTCGGGGCAGTTGTGTTGCAGTGGATGCGTAGCTTCAACAGGACAGATCGAGGACACGAGCAGGTTGACACTGTGGAGTCAGGAGCAGGGTAATTTCCTAAACCGGGATGAATTAGATAGGGCAAGGTCCGGACACCGGGAATCATCAGTTCTCATCTGAAGAAAGGAAGGTAAGAAAGAGAAGAGGGCAGGAAGACGAGGGGTGACGCTATCATGGTGTTCACTAAGAGCTGTTGTGTATTCTTAAAATTTGACTTTGGGTGTCTCTTTATGCATCTGTATGTGTGTCATTCTGGTTCTAGATGTGGATACCAATGTGTAAGAACAGACATAAATGAAGAGTTGCAGCTTCAGCTCAGCAAGATTTTCATCCTTGCTTTTGATTTGTGTTTGCTTTATCTCCTTCAGCTTGTCTTTAAGGTTGATTTTTGAAAATTCTTCTCTATGTTCGTCAATGCACATTGAGAGTGACTCCAGTCTTTTTGTTGCTTTCACGTGTATCCTTTCTCCATCACCTAAAGTTTAGATGTACGCACAAAATGATAAGGCACATCCTGCCTAAATCAGCAAGAGCGTGGAAGGTGCAGGAATCAATGGCAATCAACTTGAATAGGGAATAACAATAAATCATAGAAGTGGTTTCAATACTTCAGCCGCAGAAATAAATCTTCAGCTGGACTCACTTACTGTTTTTCTAACCCTGACCACAAACTGTATATAAGAACTATTACCTGTTACGTGAGCTGCATGTGCTGTGTGTCCTTCGAAACGATCGAAGACCAAGGTGAAAATTGGGGCTTTTAGAAGTTAATGTAACATTGTATCATTTTGTCTTCTGGCTGCAGGTCCAGGAATGGCTATGTCTGAATTGTCAGATGCAGCGAGCTCTTGGCATTGATATGACCACACCTCGCTCAAAGAGCCAACAGCAAATTCACTCTCCGTCCCACCAAGCCAAGCCCATCGTCCAGCCACAGCAGCCCATTCCACAGCCAACACAGCCGGCTGCTGCTGCACAGCCCAAACCTCTGGCACAGAGTCAGTCGACTCAACAGCAACAGCAGCAACAGCAACCTCATTCCCAGCCTTATGGCCAAACTAATCCCTACTCCCAGTCTCAGCCATATCCTCAGTCCCAACAGTATCCCCAGACCCAGCCTCAGCCTTACCCTCCTTCACAACCAGGACCCCAGACGCAGACTCAGACACATCCAGGCCTTGGTGGCCCCCAGTCTAAGACAACACCCTCTCAACAGGGCGTGAGGTCTGACCCGTACTCCCAAAGAGGTGTTGGACCTCAAGGAGGTGCTGGAGGTCCGACAGGTGGCCCTGGCCAACAAGGAGGTCCTCGAATTCCCCACCCAGGTGCTGTACCTCTGCCTGGGTTAACTAAGGCACCCTCCCAGCCAGATTTAGGTCGAGGTTCTCCGATGCATCAACCTGTGACACGTCCCCATGACCAGACGAGAAGCGCTGGATCTTCCCCTGCCCACCGACCTCAGAGTCAGGCCCCTGCCCAGGATGGTCTGACCAAACTGTTTGGCTTTGGGGCATCGCTGCTCAATCAGGCTAGTACCCTGATCAACGTTGACCCTCTACCCACAGCCTCAACACAGTCGAGCCCTGCGCGAGGTAAAGTGGTGTTCAGCAATGCAACTCCCGAGAACAGACAACAAGGGACCAGCAGCACTAAGCCTTTCAGCATGGGGGGTCCTCATGCTCCAGGCCAAATTGGGGGTCCACAGGCAACAAGTCAAGGAGGAGGTTTAAGTGGACCATATCCGCCAACCCAATTGGGGGGACCTCAAGCACCAAGTCAAATGGGCGGTCCCCATGCGCCCGGTCCAACAGGAGGCACCATTGGTGGACCTCAAGGGCCAACCCAAAAGCAACAGCAGCCGGCTGGACTCCAAAAACAGCAAACGCCGCCACAGCAGCCACTTACACAGCGTCAAAAAGAGCAGCAAGGACAGCAGATGCCTGCTCCCCAGCAGAAAGTGTTGCAGAAACAGGAACCAGTGTCGGCGCCCGTGACTGCTCCAGAGGCCGAGAAGCCCAAGGTGAAATGTCCTCTCTGTAAAACAGAGCTGAACATCGGCAGCACCGACACACCCAACTACAACAACTGTACGCAATGTCAAAGCCAAGTGTGCAACCTGTGTGGCTTCAACCCAACGCCGCATCTAGTAGAGGTAAGAAGAGACGCCTTCATCTGCCTTCATCTCCTACACACTGACATACACTGATATTAAAGTGTCACATCAGAACGTGACGCTTTAAGTCTTCCCAGGCAAATCAACACAGGTAACATTGTTTGTAACGTGCTACTCATTCTGCTGTTGGACTTACATGCAACAAGACCCAAACCTCTTATCTGTCCTTTTGTTCTGGTCTGTTCTATTTTCTTCTGTTCCTCGGTGCTGTATGGCTTATTGAAGAGCATTTCCCCTGATCTTTATTCTATTTTTTTAGATTGATGTTTTACACATTCATTCCTTCACCCTCTATGTGAGTTATTTGAATCTATTTATAAGGAGTGAAGCTCATTTCATAAATGTACAATATTGTTTTTTTCTTTTAATAGCTTCTACATTAAATAAATAAATGTAATTTAATCAAGAGATACATTTTCTTGCTAATATATTTGATTAGCATAATTTTTATTCACACCAAAATGCTGACAAGTTTTTTTTTGCAAGGATCACAAACAAATGCTTTGTTGATGAGCGGTTCCCCAAAGTCACCACTTTTAAGCTTTTAGCAAAAAATTAAAATAGTTTTACTACCTCACTAGTGAAGCACACATGGCTAGAAAGAAAATTAAGCAAGAATGTTACAACAACCAAAGAGTCTCAGCAAGCATTTCAGTCCATAAATAACTGTCTTTATACCACTTCTACCAAAAAAAAAATCAATGTGGAGTCCATCTCATCTCAGATTTGGTCGCTGCCGTTCTACTGTGCTTCACCAATTAATCTGGACACGATACTTGTGAGGAATGTCTTCTCTGTGTGATCCAGTCCAACAGATATGGTACGTTTTGTCACTTTTCTGAAAAGGTTATGGTCCAGAACCATATACCAGGAATGCTTTTTGGTATATAGTTGTTTTTGTTCTGTATTTGTTTCATATTTGCCTTTTGTGAACTTGTCCAGCATGCAGACAACCTCAGTTGGCAAAAACATCTTTCTCTACAAGGCATATTTAGTCAAATGTATGGATAAAGAATAAGTGTTATATTTTTGGTTCTACTTTGTAGTTGTGTTGCATTCATATTGTCGCAAACTTTCCACATAGTCAGAGAGAATCAACACTGAGTCAGATTTTTTTCTAGTTCAAAATAAACAATGACAAATCTTCAGAAAAGAATATAGAAATGTCCAAACTTCAGACATGACGTGAAGAAGGCAGTGAACATATTTTTAGTAAAGAAAGAATGAACGTTCCAAGAAAAGCGTAGTGAGAAAACACAGACATCTTATCCACCCACATTTTCTTTGTTCCCTCCAAAGTGCTCCTGCTCATGGAACAATGAAAGTAGTATAAAGGTCCAGCGCTCCATCACCTCCCCTTTATTGATCCAAATGCAGTCTTGGAGTGGAAAGGAGAAGAGACAGCATTGGAAAATGAAAGACAGGAAGACGAATAGCGTATTAGGGTGTTGCCAGGGACAAAGCTGAAGGGCTGAAGACAAATGGAAAAGAAGAATCGTCTGCTTAGGAAAAAGCCTGAACCTGAATCCCAGGGTGGACGGAAAAAGAAAGATCTGTGAAACATGTAAAGCATCACAGATTTGTCAGTGGGTCAGTCTAGCAAACTAATTAAAACGACTTATATTTATTTTTGCCTTAAGGGTCCCTATAAAGTACAGTTGCTAGTATTTTTATAGTGTAAGATGCAGGAATTGCCGTTGGGTGGACTCTGACATAATGGGTTAAATTTAACCGCCTTGGTAAAGGACACTAACATACACACGTGCAAACACACATAAAGAGCAAAATTATTCAAAATGCTATTTAGACCGAGAGAATCTGTCGCAGTTCTGAAACTCAGGGCATGACTTAAAGGGATGATGAGTGTGTAAATGTGGGTCAAGATTGTGGCCTTGGTACTTTGCAGCTGATTTTATGCAATAAGAAAAACACATACCGTATAATTATTACTCAGCATTTAGTGTTGCCCCCTTAATAAGGCACAAAAGGTTAAACTTCTGTCCAAACAGTGATATTCATTTTTAGGAAGTCATGAGGTATGAAAGTTGTTTTTGTGACTCCAGAATGCGTTGTGTTTTCTGCTACATGATTTCCCATAGTTTCTCATCATGTTAAAAACGGCCATGGATTTTGAAGCCCAAGGTGAATGTTTGAATAAGATCGTAGAATGCATTTTGCAAACAGGAAGTATCTTTTAATGTGAAATCCCAAACCCAGTTTCGTTCAATACACAACACGGAATGGCTTGAATGAAAACGTGAACATGTCATCACATCTTCAATTCTGTTTGTCAAAAGAATAAAACCATAAACACCAAAATTGGAATTGTCCAACATTTGGTATACTTGACTCTGTTTACAGTAAATTTATATATACATTCTGACTGTTACAGTAAAATGAAGCTTTAATGCCACAACATTAACTCCACTTTAAAATACAACAACATTTTGAAAGAAGCTACTGATTGCCTGGCTGGCCACAGAATGAAAAAGGTTAAAAAAAAATTATGAACAAGATGAAATACAAGAATAAAGAATGTTTTATTATTTTTTGCAAACTAATTATCAAAATCTTGGATTAGAATATTTTTAAAAAATAAGAAAAACAACATATAAAGACACATGAGATAATAAAAAAAGTACCAATGCCAATCTAAAACTCGTGAAAAATGTTTTTGAACATTTGAACTTATGAAATGATCCAAATAGTTGATCTTATTTAGTTCTTAGTTATGAGTTAAGCAAAAGAAACAACTAACACATCTTGATTCTGAAGAAGAGAATAAGAAAATGCTGGTGCTTTTATCTTAAAATGAATTCTGAACTCTGAAATGGATCTTCTGTCCACATTGAAAACGATTTGTTGTTGCAAAATCAAACACCAGTGTGGACAGTTCCTGAATTATATTCTATTTCAGTTCTCGTCCAGATTATCTAGTGAATAGAAATGAAAAATCTAACCAAATCTGGTTTTACAGTGGCAGCTGCATGATGTTAGCACTGTCAGCTAAACCATGCTAGCTTATTTAGAGATACCTTCAGGGGAGTGCATTCATGGCATTTCTGTTGCACTGTGATGGACTGGCAGCCTGTTATGGCTACGCCCTCCTTCACCTCCATCCTCTCACCCCAACACACACACACACATGCCCATCCACACACACTCACACACACACCCACACACCACCCTCAACGTTGAAAGGATTAAGAGAGCACTGAAAAGCAGATGGATGGTTTTCCAAGTTTCCATTACAATGATTACAACTCGGTTGTGATGTAATTCCCTGCCAACCACGTCCAACTCCCAAGACAGGTTGAAGGATTAAGATTAGATGTTGACTATTTGTTATTCTTGGTAACTCCACATACAGGTTTTCTGCTTTGTCTGCAGGAGTTTTTTTCCCTCTTGCTTTCAAGATTCATTAGATTTGGATTTGTAGTTTATAGCAGACAAACATGAACATACAGAATAATAATTATTGACTTTCTCTGTGACAGCTGAAGACACTCGTAAAGAAACAAAAAAAAGTCTAATAGAAATCAAAGAATGGAAGAAGAACTTGACAGGTTGGACAATCAGGAGAGCTAGACCATCTTAAGGGAGAGAGAAAGAGAGAGATATGTTTACAGAAGCATAGAGAGGAATAAAAAAAAGGTAACATTAAAGAAGGATGACAAGCGAAGCAGAGATGGAAACAGATGGAAAGAGAACAGAGCCAAAGCGGAGAGGAAACCAGACAAGCTGAATCACGCGCAAACTGGAGTCCAGAGGGAAGATGGGCACCGATGCACTCTCTCACACAGTCATACAAAAGACAGTAAGTGGAACAGTAGAGGGAAAGAGGATCAAAAAATAGAGTGAAGCAAAGAGTGGAAAGAAAAGCTGCAAACAAAAAAAAAGATGATCTCACAGAGCCACTCCAAATGCATTCCTTTTAACTATGTTAAAGCAGGAGCCGAAAATAAAACCGTTGTGACTCCTAAGACGTCTTATTATATCTGCACATCTTTATTTAGCTCACAGTTGCACACCTAATTCACACCTCTGACATGTAAAGTGCCTTTACACAGACCTCGTACAAGTAGACCTCAACAAATGCATATTATTTTCATTTTATAAGCACTAAAGTATGTTCAAATAAGATAGTACTTTATTCATAACAGGGACAATTCAGAAGATATGAGGTGACATGAGAGTGCATAGCATAATGGAAAGAACCAGTTAAGAACATTGAAAACCAGCCAAAACAGAAATGTTTTGAGAAAACAAAAAAGGACAATAATCAGGAAGTCAGAACGCAAACACAAATGAAAACCAAACACCAGCACCAGTAGATTATGACACATTGGCTTATGGATACATTTGCAGAGGGCTGTATTTGATATTTTTTAAACAGCAGCCAAATCATTTCATATAATATGCGGCTTCATTTATTCATGCACTGTAAGATAGAAAAAGTTGAGCCATAACATAAAGAGACATGGATCAGAAGACAGACATGTGGACTGGTTTGTTAATCACATCTGGCCCACTTTTAGCTTCATTGTGGAAATGATCTGGTCACCACACTTGAGCAAACAAATACAAAAAACATCCTGTTTGAAGGTAAAACCAAATTCAGCCACAAGCAGATATAGTTACTCTGCAATTTTTGGCACATATAAAAAACAAATAATGAATAGAAAAGGGCAAACGTTTAGTTTGGAAAAACTGCATACCGCCAAGCTGGTCAAGTCTTCATTTTATTTTGGTTTAAAAAAGAATGGCAATCTTTCCATCACTGTTTACTAAACACTAATTCACCTAAACTAAGTTTGTCAATTTTACAGCAGGTGAGTCTTTCGCCTCACCGTCTGCTTGAACAGATCAAAATGTTCTGCTCAGTTTTTGTTCTGCTGTCTGAGGAAGAGTGCTGAAGAAACAATGGAGCTCCTGAAAAACTCCGGTGTCATAAACATGGCCTCACTGAGGTTATTGAT